GAAATGACTCGAAAAAAGATTCGTTCATTTTGCTGAACAAGACTCGAAGGTCCGAGTCGGTAAAATTATCCGAACTTCCAGCAAAGCCCGCGCTGACTGACGCGCTCTTTACAAATTCAAATGTTGCCGCTTCAAACGACAGGTTTTACGGCAGGATAATCGAACGCTCATTGGCTCTTGCCTGCATTCTTCACAGATTGCGACATGCCGTGTTTCTGGTGAGGTGTGTTTGAATAATGCGCGCGTGCCTTCACGAGTTCACGGAGTGGATCGGGAAAATTATCTGGATAATATTTTCAGCGATTAACAACATAAATTCTGCTCTGGATCACACAAACCTACTGTATTTCGCCAGAGAGGACTGCGGGTGCAACGCATCGTCATTTGGATTACTTTTGGTGCTGCTTTTGACATTTTTGCAATAAATAAATGATTGTAATGGCATCTGTCTGTCATGTTTTTCTTATACTGTACAGAAATGTTTAGGTTTATAGGTAGGAGTGGAATTAGCGACTACAAAAATATTTTGATGCTATATTGTTACTAAAATGGTTATTTTCCTGCGTATTTTGGTCATTTGCGTTTTATATCCTTTTATATTCGCTATAAAATGGGTAGGTTTAGGTTTGGGGGTAGGTTAAGGGGTCTAAAAATCTAAATTGCGTATTAATAAAATTATAAAAATGCATATTCACTGTAAAATGGGTAGGTTCAGGTTTGGGGGTAGGTTAAGGGGTCTAAAAATCTAAATCGCTTATTGATAAAATGATAAAAATGCATTGATATGAATATCTTGATATAAAAGATACGTAAATATTTTTACGTTTTTTAGCTAAAAATACGTAACGATTTGTACGTTTTAAACGTTGAAATACGTCTAAATTGTACGTTTTAGCATTAATAAAAACGTACAAAAGTGTACGTTTTGTGCTTGTAAATGTTACGTATTAATACCTACGTATAAACATGAGACCAGGCAGATATATTTTAAAATATCATATATTCCTGTAATGGCAAAGCTGAATTTTAGCAGCCATTTCTCCAGTCTTCAGTGTCACATGAACCTTCAGAAATCATTCTAATATACTTATCTGATGCTCAAGAAACATTTCGTATTATTACCAATGTTAAAAACAGTTGTGTTGCTTAATGTTGTAGAAACTGATCATTTTATTTTCATGATTCTCCAATGAATAGGAAGTTTAAAACAACAGCATTTATTTGAAATGGAAATCTTTTTTTTTTTTTTTGTCTCTGTCATATTTGATCAGTTGAATGTGTCCTTGTTGGAAAAAAACCCCCCAAATTCTTTAAAAATCGTACTCACCCCAAACTTTTGAAGGGTAATTTAATAGTGTAATTAAATAAAGAACAAATATACCACAATATACGTATTCCATTTAAAATGTTAAAACTTCAAAATATGATGAATTTATACAATGAATTATATTTTAAAATATAATAAGATACTAAGACAAGATATATTTTATATTTTATATCTCTCTCTTTTAATTTTTATGTTCATGTAGCTGTGAGGAGAATCTGGAAATAACTTTCAGCACTAAGAGGCATGTTACTGACGAGACTCTGACAGATGATCTTAAAAAAAGCCGAGTGGAGGAGGATAAGGAATTGAAGGAGGAAGAGGAGGCAGGACTTGAAGCTGCAGAGGCGGGACTAGAGAGACCAGAGGAGAGGAAAGATGCAGAGCCAGTAATTGACGAATATGTCATTGGTAAGAAAACAGTTGTAAAGTCTGAGAATAACTGTAATTATATTTCCCTTTTTGTAGTTAAATTTCCTAATCTTTTCCACAGATTCTTCCCCTCCTCCACCTGCACCATTTGAACACCGTCTAGTGACAACCAAAACCCACCAGATTACAAGTTACTACACTATCAATAAAGAGGAAGTTCTTGGAGGGTGCGTTATTATTTATATTGCATCATATTACATTAGATTTGTTTACGTCAAAGGAATTTTTAAAGCAGGATGCCTGTGATTGCTAAGCATTTTAAGAGCTTACAGGACACATGATACACAAGGGCATGAAAGTGACAGACAGGTGTGTGTGTGTGTGTGTGTGTGTGGGAAAGAAAGACGCTGAGAGAGTGAGACATGCGGAATATTTTTAGCCCTTAGTGAAAGTAAATACCGAGAGACAGGAGGAGATTACAGTTAATTTCCTTTGCGGTATTCAAAGGATGTGGGAATTTCAAGTTTTCAAATTTTGTGATTTAAATGAGTTTTTATTGATTTTAATAGAGGACGCTTTGGCATGGTGCACAAATGTGTAGAGAAATCTTCTGGCCTCGTATTAGCAGCCAAGATCATCAAAGCCAGGAGTCAGAAAGAGAAGGTAAATGCCTGAGTCCATGTTAAAGGGGTCATATGATGCGATTTCAAGTTTTCCTTTCTCTTTGGAGTGTTACAAGCTGTTCATGAATAGATAAGATCCCTAAAGTTGCAAAGACTAAAGTCTCAAACCCAAAGAGATATACTTTATAAAAGTTAAGACTGGTCCACGCCCTCCTAATATGGCTCGTTTAAACACGCCCCCACATGTCTACGTCACTGTGTGGGAAGATTTTTATAACGTGCCCAAATGTTCACGCAAAGAAAGAAGGTGCAACTTTATTGTTGCTGCCACCGCCACCGCCATGTTGTGAAGATGCTGTGTGTTTCATTGGGAAAGCGAAACTACTTTGTTTGGCCTTCCAAAAGAGGGACAGTATAAGTCATTATAATCCGTAATTATGTCCCCACTGGATGCTACAAATGTCTCGTTGATAATGTGTTTTAATGTTTTGTTTCTTGCTCCGACCTGACGGCATCATCACAATATGGTAAGGGGTGTAACATTTCCATCACACTGTAACGTAGTTCGTAGTCACGGGAAGAAGGAGGCGGGAACCGGCGAACATTTAAACAAACTTTAATAAAATAAACAAACACAAAATAGCGCGACAGCCCCTCGCGGACGACTGTCGCGCACAAACAAAACCAAAACACA